TTTAACCTTTAGATACAGTATCAAACCGATGTGTTTCATGACTTGTCATGGGTGAACATTTCATTGTACCAAACAAAGTTAAATGTGATATGCATGTAATTATCTCTAATATAATTTAATTGACACATTTAAACAATCAAATGCTTCATTGTTTTCAGCGAGGACAAATAGCTTCCTCTCCAGTCAAGCAACAAGTGATCAGTTGTACGTTACTTCAACGTTACATGAAGGTGCAAAACGGAAATTAAAACATAATTCTTTTATCGTTATATGTGGGCCTCCAGGTGAAGGCAAAACAACATTGGCAGCAAAGCTTATGTGCGAAATAGCTGAGCCTACATCTAGATTTAAATTGAATGATCCAGGTGAATGGAAGTGGATATTTCCAAGATGGTCCAATCAAATAGTATTTATTGATGATATTTTTGGAGAAGGTCTGTTCAGAGAAAGTTTATTAAACAAATGGTCAACCGTACTGTCTGAAATAAAACACCGTGCAAAATTTCTCATTTTAACAACAAGGGATTATATTTTGGAACAAGCCAAGAACAAAATGTCGATGAAATATTTGAACGTTTTTGAGGAGAAGCATATACACAGACTCTCCTCCTCAGCATTGTCAATATCAGAAAAATGTCAGATTTTAAGAGCTCATCTTCGGTTTTCAAAAAGAAGCTGTGACAGAAACTTTGTAGAGAAATGTGTTGGTCTGTATTATACGTCTGCGTTAGTAGGTTTCCCGGAAATATGTAGATTGTTTGCAAACAACCATACACTTTTCATTAAAGGATCACCAGTCTTTGAAAATCCTTCACATTTTTTCAAGAATTGTATCAAAGATATCTTCCGTGACGAAAACACATTTATTGCAATGATGCTTATATGGAGTAGACCAAACAAATCACTCAATGTACTTGATGTTGAACGTAAACAGTACAGCATCTTAAATGTAGCCTACGCATTCGGGTACGAATTGAACAACAGTTCAAAGCTGAAAGTCCTTAAAGCCATGGAATTTCACAAGAAAGGGTTTTTGACATATAACCAAAATACTGGCCATTACACATTCTGTCACACAATAGTGAGTGATATGGTTGGACTTGTAGCAGGACAGGAACATACAGGAGCAATTTTAGAATATGCAAATGAGGAATTCATCATGCAGTACATAACAACGGATGCAAATAAGAATGATGACTTTCATATTTTCATTGAAGAATTTAGATTTCAGCAACTCAACGATAATATCCGAAGATGCATTTCAATAACACCTAATCCGGTCGGATGGAAAAAACCAAACACTGGCACTTCCATATATGGGACGGTTGTCACATTGCCGACAAAGGTAAAACTCAGACAAATGCCTTTATTCATTGGCGAAGATACTTTGAATGCAGCAATAGTCAAACACGATTGCTTCAATAATAGAAAATACATCGAACATTGTTTGGAACGGTCTAGTTTCCTATCTTCTCCAGTTATAAGTTTTCGGAGACAGTTCGGATACTACGGAGTTGATGTTGGAGATAGATTCCTAACTGTCAATTTGCCATTACGTGCACTTTTGTATGACAATATCATGTTACTTGATGTCTTTCTTAAACAGAAAACATTCAACTATTATATGCAATCCACGAAAGATTTCTTTTATGTTGGAATGCTTATAGCTGCACATAAAGGTCTAGTACATGCTGCTGATTTATTATTGAAACATGGAGGAAAAGTTTGTGAAGACGCGATTTTTATCGCCGCCGAAAACAGTGACATAAGAATGCTATCTTACCTGTTAACACATCGTGGAAATGATTATTCATTTGACTCAAATATAATGAATAAGAATAGTCCTTTAATTGCTGTGGCAAAGAGAGGTCTGATTCCACCAATGAAATGCCTTCTTTACCATGGTGTGGATATCAACTATAGAAATGCTAATAAAGCCTCTGCTCTTGAAAAAGCTGTTTTATACCAGCAAAGAGATGCATGTAAATTCCTATTGGAAAATGGGGCAGACGTCAATGGAAAGGGTGGGAAATATAAGAGAACACCTCTTCATATTGCAGCTGATATTGGTGCTATTGAAATAGTTGAGTTATTACTTCAGCATGGTGCTGAAGTAAAAATAAAAGATTGTAAAGGCCATTTTCCAATTTTTTGTGCTGCTATTCAAGGTCATGCAGAAACGGTTGATTGTATGCTGAAAAAGGACGTTTCACAAGCAATGTTAAGAATATCATCATACGGAAGGAAGTCTGTTATCAAAGGAATGGGACTTATGCATGTAGCTGTTTGGAAAAATGATATAAAATTATTAACTATACTTATACAAAACAAGGTTAACCCTGATTCGCGTGACTTTTACGGCCGAACGCCATTTTATTGTGCGGTCGATAGTGGTAGAACGGAAATAATGGATGCACTTTTGTCCGTTTCAAATGTAAAACTTGCTGAGAAGAACGGATTCACACCCTTGCATACGGCAATTCACCGTAGACATACATATATAGCTAAACAAATATGTCTTTTATCGGACATAAATGCACAAGACAAATATGGAAAGACTGCGCTACATACTGCATGTGAGGAACTAGATACTGAAATATTTCATTTGCTCGTTATGGTTTGTGGTGCAGATTTGCGGATACTTACAAAAACAGGGAATCAATAATGAATATCTTGCATGATACACTCTTGCGTCCATTACTTTCAAAATTCATGTCTCCAAAGAAATTCAAACACATGTCTGCGGAAGGAGTGAGATTCGGAGAACAGAATCTTAAAACAGATGAAACCTGGGAGATCTTTAGACGTATTGTTGCAGAAAAAGATCCGCAGTTTGCAGACACATGGATAGACGTGTTCGCTCGTAGAAATCTTCAAAGCAAGTAATTTTACGACAAATGAAAGACCACACATTGTCCATTTGTATATTAGAGTGAAAAACAATTAGTAAAACTTGTATTTTTCAGTCTATATCTATGAATGAAAAGCGTATACATCTACATATACTTACAATCCATCTTTTTAATGACAATAAAAATGTGCAGAAAAATATGTACCTACCTTGCACGACTCAAAAGAAAAAGACAGATATTATAAACGATTAAACTATAAATATATATGGAATTTATTTTATTTTATTTTCAATTCTGAAATAACAATTGTAATAATCTTTCTTCACTTTAAACAATTTGCCCCTCACCGCTGTTGGTTCGAATCCCGACAGGATCTTCGAATTCTGTCATGTGAGCAACTATCCAGGTAGCGTACAGAACGTCAGTGATTCTACTCAAATTCCCGTTTGTACCTGAACAATGCACTGAAGGGCATCTGAAGTTTACCTGGAAAGCCGCCTGTAATGTGTTGGGCGACTTACTTCGACCCCTAAAAAACGAAATGTGCAAAACTGTAACAATGAGGTCACATAGTCCGTCATCAAAACATTTACGTGTACAGTGAAAGTAAGCTTTAATTGCTGATCGCTTGATATTTTGAATTATTGCAACGTCTTCAACACAGTTTTATAGCATTTTATAGGATAAAAGATACTTCTTTCTTTCTAGACAATTGATTGTTAAAGACTTTGTATACACATGAGAGAGGCAATTCTTATTAATACACTTTATTTATGATATATTGTCATATCATACATAAAATTATCAATAAATGCGTTGTCATTACAATGATAACAAATAAACGGTTCTGAATTGTCAACCTCTGAAGTATTGTAAAACCGCCATATATAAATGGCTCTGTCCATATATTCCGGGCAATTGAAAATTAAAGGTGAAATTGGTTACCGGAATTTGTCAGCGATTTCTCACCAGAAGGGAGAATAAAGGCAGATTTGAATCGGATTTTGTCACTCGCAACGAATGATCATATATAAGAGATCTTTGAGACCTCATAAAGATTCTTTGAGCCCTTGGAAATTCTTTGGACATAGAATTGTGTTATTTGGCTACGACTACAACTACTAACAAGGACTGTTTGTGTCTTTATAAATTAATAGATATAAACATTATTGATTAATGACAAAAGTTGTTGGTTGTTTTCCTATGCATACTAGTATTATATTTTATTAAGGATTTGGAAAGAAGTTACGCACACTAACATTTTCATATGGTACATAGTAGCGTATGATATAACATCTTGTGCAAAATTATAGTAATGCCTTATAAGTATGTCAATCTTTTCCGTTATTTTTCCGGCACCAGTGGAAAGCCACTCTTGGTATTACTCGAGTAATGTGTTGATAGCTTAACCGAACTATAACTTGACCAAGTATGGTAGTCAAATTATCATATTGAAAATTACAATTTAGTTACGAATTAAAATGATTTTTAAAAACTATAAAAATGAATTAAGAAAACCTTGCTGCTACACACATACACTATAGATATCGATATCAGACTCACAGGTTTGTCACACGGTAATAAATTTATAAAAAAGCGCGTAAGTGTTAGATAATAAGATTGATATATTTTAATTGATGAATTTTGTTTTTGTGATAAATGATTTAGAAAATGTTAAAAACTGTTTTGGTATATATTCTTATAATCCAGTAGTGTAACGAAGAAATTACACCTATGGTAGATATATAATAACATGTAAACTGTTACTATGCAATTTCACAAGTACTAGATATCTAATAGATACTACAATGCTCTATAGTCTAAACTTTACAACATTGCATACCTTGTTCAAACACTGTATACAATTTTATACCAACACTATTAGTTTAATCAATAAAATCGCCAAATATTGAGCAAGATCAACAATATCAATATTAATACTTGAAAGTTTCAATTAACATAGAAAAGGTGTGTAAGACATTTATCATATTTTTTGAATTTCTTCATATGCCTCCTTCTGATCGTCTCTGATAAACTGAGTCAGGTCAGTATACTGATGAACAGAGTCGTCCATGTTGTCATCATTTTGTGTTTTGTCTGACGTATCTGCACTACAATAAACATTTCCATAACTGTGATTGACATATGTCCTGGAAAAAAGAGATTTTTAAGTTTATCAAAATAGAAGATACTCAAAAACCCAGTCATGGTAAATGTATGTATCATTTAAAATTTAATGTTTATTAGGTGTCACAGTGGTAATATCATTTATATAGTTGCTATTTATTAAAACACTGCGTAGTTTACTCTCACCTCAAACAATAATACTATTACACACTATTTAAACCTATAATGTATTTCAAACAATCGCTTACATTTGATTTGTCGGATCTTCATTTGACTTTAATCGTATACCTAAAAATACATAAATTATTTGGGAATAGTCATATCAAAGTATATTTATGTCCTAGGCTTTGGCATTATGTTCTTGCATGGTACAAATGATTGATATCTTATTGAGTTTGTTTTCTGTTTCCGGATATTGACAGTACGATTAAGATATAAGACACAGGTGATTCTTCCATTTTTACTTTAGATAGGAAATGAAAAATTATCATTATAAGACAAAGATGTCAGTATATATACTAACTGCTTATAAAAATAGTCTCGAAACATATAATACGCAGCACTCAACAACTTTTGAAAAACAAATGCGATGTTCTGATACGTAGCTAAATGCTAATGGCCCAGTTGAGAAAACATTTATCCCAGTTGAGCAAATAAAGATTTTTGTTAACTTATTGAGATAAATTTGATTTACATGATGTACAGCAGTGATGATTTAAGTTGATACTAGATAATATCGTTAAAACAATGAAGGGTTATATTCAAAAATAAAAATAAACAAAAAATCTTATGTTTCGTTTACATACATACTATAATACCTTTTAACTTCCGTTTAAAGATAACAGTCGAAAATACTGCATAGCCTATCAATGAAGCACACAGCAATCCTAGAGATATACTAACTATCATAACATTATCATCCAATGTCGGTTGACTGTTTGTTTGCCCAATAACTTTAGAATAAAATTATAAATAAAATATTTACTGTCATTTGTAATAGTTTAGTCGATTCTGAATACATTTGATAATGATTATCAACAAGTTGATGTAAGAATTGATTGCGAAATGTTATGCATCTTCAAACAATGAAAAAAATCTATTCGGAAAAGTTATATATTCATCTATGTAAGGGCAAGTTCATTTTGTTAATCATTTTTGAAACATTGGCGATAACATTAACGAGGCACAAAACAAAATAAATCACACTTTTGTGTATACAAAGTTTAAAGAAAATTGGAAAAAATATATTCATCTTTTTTTGCATACAAGCCATTGAATGTTTCTTTTCCTCTTACAATTAACGTTTAAAAATATGGATGCCTCGAGAAGTTCAATACTGCTAAGTTCCATCGTCTTGAAATTCGTTCTGTTTTGATATTATCTGAGATTAATTTGGTTTTAATTTCTTTGTTTTAAAAATTATTCTGGATAATCGTATGCACAACTGCTCTAAATCAATATAAAACTTGTTTCAATAAAGATAATATAAAAAAATTGATCTACTGTTCTCTGTAAGATATAGATGCTGCTCATATTTTCCAATTTCATTGGTGACTGTAACCTTATAATGACCGAAATCTGACTTTGACACATTTGTAATGGTTAGATTAGTCTGTAAACCAGATGTGGATATGCGTAAGTCAGCATTGCTTAATAACGGTATCCATGTAGAACTATGTTGTTTATGCCAAACGAAGCCATTGGTGCCAGGTTCTGGGTATGCCAAAGCAGTAAAGCTTAGTAACGCTTGTGTATGCAACGCACTCGAAAAGGTCTGTCTCCTTTGATAAAGAGGTCGTGGAGAGCCTGAGAAATATTCAAATATATGAGATACTTCTGAGTGTTGGATTCTTGCTTCACGTGTATAAATATGTTTGCCATTTAGATCAATGACCATACAACCTATTTTTATTCTTTGTTTCCGAAATAGCAGACGAAAGGCTAATCTTATCAGTAGATTTGCGAGTAAAGATAACCGGTTGTGTATCTCGTTGTATAAATCATATTTATTACATGCTTTTCGGTGGTTTATAGAAATATATCAGTGATATTAAAACTGGTAATTTCACTGTTTGAAACAGTGAAATTACCACTTTGATAATTCCACTGTTTTGAATTTAAGCCCCTTACGTTGTTTCAGTGAAATACCAGCGTGCACAGAACTGGGTACCATTTTAATGACGTCACGTCGTAAATGACGTCACGTTTTATTATTATTTGGCGCGCTTTTCATTCAGTATTAGGTTTATTGTCTTTTTAAAACGTTTCTTTGCATATAACAAAAAGAAAATTTGTTAAGTTTAGTGTAAGATCGAAATATATTTCACCTTGTGAACACCAAAAGTTCATATTTCACTCGTGGCTGCACAACTCGTGAAATATACCTTTTGGTGCTCACTCGGTGAAATATATCCCGAACTAAACTACACTGAACTAAACAAATATCCTCTATGTAAAATGGTTTGACTTGTGGTATGTTTAACCGTTAATTTAAATGCCTTTAGTGTCAAACAGTGTGTTGAAATATATACTGAGACGAAATTAAGATCACAAGATTTTCATTGGTGTGATAAATTCTAAAATCGGACAAAACTAGCGGTTTAAAAACGGCTAAATTTGTATTGTTTTAGCATAAGAGATATCGATTTTACTCGAAGATAAGATTTCTCACTCGATATACCTCTCTTATTTACGTAGCTTATATGGAGACTGTCAATGGGTGTATTTCATAACGGTATGTTGCCGTTTGTGAGTACATAGATATGTAGTAGCCGTATTTAAAATGTTATTATACTACATTCATGAAATGAAAATCGATGTCACAAAATTGTACTTTAATAAAGTAGTATAAACAACAATTTCATTAAGATGCACGTAAGACTTTGTTTGCAGATTCGACTGACCGTTTATACCGACTGATAAAGAAATGAGGTGTCAAGTTTATTTAAGTATTGTAGTTGCTTAAACGTTACATTAAATGGTTGTGGTTTAAGTACAGTTTTGAAGCGAGATATTCAGTACGAATTTTTACGAATTGCTATAATTTTGAAACATGTGCTAAAATACATTTCTTTAATATATTCAGAATCGACTTATTTGTATATTTTTGAAAACTTTTGTAGGCACCAATTGAGCAAAATATTGAAACATGTTACCAAAGGAATATAAAATTGTGTTTATTTTTTTATCTTAATATCCGCAACTTAAAATTATTTTAGACATTTATAACCTGAAAACGGCAAAGTTTCATAACGTACATTCCATCGGCGAATTCCACAAACATTGCATCTTAATGTAACTTTCTTATTTAGGTCAACATGTAATCATTCATATTTTACAAAAATGAAACTGTTGAATTGAGATGTTTCATGTGCACATTTTGAAGAGAAAACAACTTCTAAACCATGGAAAATGTGTAGAAAATATTTAAAAGAATGCGATTTTGAGAGCTGTAATAAGGTTATACACAGTAATGTAGAGATCTATAAACACAATTTTAAAATTGGCATACTTACAACGTACATTCACCATCAAATGCCTCTCGGAATCTAGTCCTTTATTATGCGGGTTTCTTGCAGCACATGTATACTCTCCAGCATCTAAGCATGCAATGTTATCACGAATATATAACAGAGTGTGTATATCGTTCTGTCTAAAGATAACTTTGTCCTTATAATGTATTTCAATATTAGAGCTAGGATTACTGTCTACCGAACATTCAAATGCAACATCTTCGGACTCATTTACTGTTACAGCTGACATTGAGACTAGAGCCCCTTTTACAGAAAATGATTGTATTGTTGACATATCTGAAAATAGAATTGTTGATTTACCTTAAAACTGTGTAACTTAAAATACATTTTTAAAAGTGTACGAGTATGACATACTACTTTAATACAAAACACAATATTTATATCACAGTAGTTATACATAACACAGATTTCAATGAACTTTCACCAACATTCAACTATTTCAATGAGTTTCGCTTTTATAGAAAAGTTTTGTATACAATTTTAAAATATGATCAAATCTTTATTGCCCTTACACATATAAAATTTGAAGTGGAAATAGTAATTCCATACCTCAAATGCATTTGATACATTATGGCAAATCTGAATCATATTTCACTTGTTTCTTTTTCAGTAATACATCTTAACAAACAACATCATATGTTACTGGTTCAAAATTACATCAGTTATTAACATTTAATGTTGCTGACATGTTTCTATTATAAACTTTCTGTGACAATAGTTTAGTGATCAATTAAAATATGTATTAAGCATTAACTACTGTAAGCGGGTAGATGTCTCAGTGTAGGAAAAATGTGCATTCTGACCTGGACTACCAACTAAGCTAACCAGTCCCTATCAACAAATAGTTCTATAGCATAAATATGACATCGCGTTTAACCTTATTTTGATATTTGTTCATCACCAGAATTGTATGATACAAGACCAAATATCTTCCTTAATATACATAATGTAAAAAGCTTACAAAGGACATTAAGGTGAAACGATCCACTATTTATTCCAAGTTCTTCTACACTTCCACTTGGTCTCAGTATGTTTTGCACGGTACATTTATACATCATGTCATCATACTTGGTAACATTCTGTATGTACAATGTTTGTGTATCCCATGTTCTGTTGTCACCATCCCTTATCCATTTGAATCTTGTATCAGTAGGGTTTCCCTTTGTTACAGGACAAGGTAAGGTCAGATTAGCTCCCTCAACAATGTCTTTATCGGTCATTCGTACCGTTGGGGCATCTATAGGTATAATGAATATTTGTGTGAAAATTGACATAAAAAAACAACAAAAAAACAAACAAAAAAAACATGAACAGCTATATTAGAAATGTCACTGCACGTATCAAAATGCCTAAATATATTACAGACTATTAGATAAATAATTAACAACTTACATCAAAGATATAATATGATTTCAAAAATTAGTTTTATCATTATGATAAAAAATATTTGGATTCTATTACAATATATAATATGGAAAAAAATACCACAATTCTAATTACTATTGCATAGAAATAAAATACAATTGTTAAACATTTAGTACATAATAAATTAAAATTGAAGCTTTTTGTATCATTCCCAGTTGTTGGCCCTCCAAAAGTTGGTTCCATTCTGTTGGTTGCAAATATTGTATATGTTCCACTTTGTTGTCTTTTTATTTCATCTACAACTAGTATGTTGGAGGTTGAAGAAACACGTCCAGACCAAGACGTCGTTGCCGCTGGCTTACCATCAACTTCACACGTTAATGTAAATGAGCTGTTTTCTTTTATATCAATAGTGCTATTAACAGCTACACTAGTGGAAGAAGCGTTGTAACGAAGCTTGCAGTCTTTAATCTTTGGAAGATCTGCAGGACATTTGATTTTATGTTGAAGTTTCATAAATTTAAATGAGTAGCAGTAAATGCTCGTCATCGTAAGCATGGTCAGTTACGTTACAAGCAATTCAGTTTTAGCTTACCAAACATAAAATGATAAAATATATCTGTATCGTCTGACAATTCATATTACTATATCACTTTTAAAATAATTTTAATTCAAAGTTATATTCAAGATATTGTATAGGCTCAATTAAATCAATTAAACGGACGAATTTACGTTGTAAATAAACACTGTTTACGAATTACGAAAAGAATTACCATCATTAAATTATTAAATATTTGAGGTTTGAAGCATTTGAATAGATTGCTTTCCTTCTTCCGGAACATATCTTAAATTAAAAAGAAACCCACAAAAACCCGACTTTAATACGATGTAAAAAGTTTCCTTACTTACGTAGAATAAATAAAAATTAAGGATAAAGTAGATTTCTCATTTAGACCAGTTAGATATTGTGCTACATTTTTTTCTGTTTAGAATTAAAAACAACAACAACATAAAAGATTCACATTTAAGCAGTTAAGTGAATGATGTAATCAAAATTTTTGTGGGCTCTTTGCGAACGTCACCTGACAGATGTGCATTTGTCAATTAGGTGTGGGCGATTAAAAAATAACATATGAAACGTACATAAAACCTGTACAGTTATGTAAACTGTCTGATTCTCAGCTAACGGATGTGAAGATTGACACGCACAGTAAGAATCTAAACCTCGTGTTGCATTCCAGGTTACTGTCTTTGTGGTATTCGCTTCACTTGTTGTTGTTAATGACCCGTTATCGAAGCAATTCCACATTAAAGTTGCTTCAGGATTGCTTTCCCCGATATAACATGACAGCGAGCCTTGATTATTTTCTATCACTTTGTATGTACTGCCGTTAGTAAAGCCTTGTATAACTGGAGGGCCATCTGGAGAATCTGTAAATTATGAATTGTATCACAATAAATTTATGTATTTGAGTATTGACTTAAATAATTATGTGATAACTAAAGTAATAGAAATTTATAATAATATAATTATATATAGCTAAACTAATAGTATTTTATAATCTTATTGTTATTTCAATTATTGAATTCACAATACAAATATCCATTATAGTTATCAAATTACTCAACAACAAATGTATTTGTAATTGAGGGATGACAGAAAGAATTCGTCATCTTTTTCGTCTGCAGAATCATCCTAGAAACATTCAAATTTGCAAGGAATTAGCAGTCCCATTCGGTTCTATTTACAACAAAACAAACAAAGCAGTAGCTTAAATATCTTATCAAATCTTTAATGAAATCGTATGTTAAGCTTCAAAAGTTTACAACTTGAACAACATCGAATAATGTTCTTTAGACAAAAGGTTGATATAATTATTAGAAATATCTGCCTTGTGATAACAAATTTCCATAAAAATATATAAGCAATACCAAACTCCCTAATAACCTGTTTTGTTTTCTAAATAATTGTCTTATAATTCTTAACTTTATGACAAAAACACAGAAAATAAAATTCATACTTACAAAGGATATTTAGCTCAAATGAATCTGACTGAAGTGGTGAACTACGAGGATTGTTAACAGCATTACAATAAATATGAGAACCATTATCTGTCCTTAATGGTATATATGATATAGCACTGGTTGACTTTTCTAGCTGACCTACAACCACTGTGGTAAATGAGACGTTATTTGTTAAGACCAGTATTTTACCACTTCTAGACTTTTTATACCACGTTATATTTGCTGCAGGCTGTCCTGTGGATGTCTCACATGTTAAATTTGTTGCAAAGTTCTCTATTATGGGCCCGTATGGTGACTGTAAGCTTATACTAGTTACATCAACTGTAATGGATATGTCACCTTAAAGTATAGACTCAAATACTGATTCCTATATTACCCACCATATCATAAATGGCATGTTAGGAACAAAACTAAGTTGATTGTGACATGATGGTAGACAATAACAGATTAATGTAACAGGTTATAATATTTAGATTATGGCTAAATACGAATTATCTATGAATAAGTTATACACGAATAAATTATAATATTTAACAGTTATGTATACCGTTTCAGGACATCACTTTGGTGGATTAATGAAATACTAAAATGAAGTTTGTTAAGGCTTTCACGATACTTAATTCATTTAGCTCAATGCTCACATTGGCTGAAATAATTTCCTTAATAATTAGAACAATAAAAAGTTACCTCGCTCAATTATTGTCACATTATTGCTGAATATATATCCTGGAGCCGCAACCGCACATTGCCATGTATCACCGTTGGTTCTATTGACATAGTGTTTAATAGTAAATGATGAATGTCTGCTAGAAGGACAGGCGTATTCATAACGTGTGGCATCAGGAGGTCCAGGTGGGTTAAATGTTGTACATGCTGGTATCATTACAATAGCGAGCGTGTTTCCATTCAATAACCACATAAATCCAACTACGGTATTATTACCATTGTATGTACATGTAAATGTAAAGGATTCCCCCTGGTCGGCTACAGCAGGAGATGGTGATAACGTGACACTACCATTGACAAAACAATAACCTGAAACGATCAAAATTACGTGAATATGTCACCTATATGCAGATTCACATTGTTTGATTTTATAAAAGAAGAGTCGTTTGACGTCATTCAAAGCAACTCTACTGAGAACCAAAAACATAAAACTTTGAATTATTACTTACTCAAATGGTATTGCAAATGTAAAATGAAATACATTCAGGATTAAATCTAAAATCATCTTTGTGCAATATTTAGTCTGTTTTGACTTAAAAGCGTTTTTATTTCTGCGACATTTCGCGCAATGTACTTTTTTTCTCGGAAAACCGAAGTGAGCTAATGATCTGAAATTGTATACATATTATTGGTCCAGACATTTATCAAATGATACCCATTCTCAGAGAAAATATCATGTTAATTATGTCAAACAATTCCGTGGAGTTCATTTAAATATTGTATAATTATATCATTAAATTTTCGTCATATTTAAGTTTGATGTAGATCTATGTGTATAAAGCCATGCAGACACAATCAAAGTTCGAATTAACACCACGAGTCATATAAACACAGTAATATACTTATTATAGTATATGTACGAGCATTATGTTAATTACCGTTAAAATATGTTTTGTGATAATATTGAAACTATTAAATAGCCAATTTTTGTGCAATTTTTTGAACATTTTATTCTCGATGATGTGTTTGTATGTAACTGGAATATATGTGCATGCTAAACTGTAAATTTATCATTTGAAATAAGAAGAATGAAAAAACATATTCCCTTCTAAGACAATGAAATTATTAATAACGTACAAAAATATTTCACGGGGGGGGGGGGAATGGAGTGTTACACGATGGATGGAGGTCTAATGATAACTTGTCAAGGAGTTCTTGTGATAACTGTCACGGAGTTCGTCAGAAAACTATTGTATATAATGCAAAAACACTCCTCAAAAATGGTAATTTTCATGTTTAAAAAGTGAGTTTCAGGTGCTAAATTAAATTTTAATGATTAATCCTTCCTTACATATTGTATTATGTGTCAAAAACTAATTCATAGTCCATTTTTCATCGTCTCTTGCATAAATTCTGGTAGTTTGAGTAAAATTTCTAAATTATTTGCCAATATGCAAGTATTTACCTGTTTATTTCAACTCTTCATCCTTGCCATACATAATTACCTAATTATAATGCAAAATTGCAAACATAAAGCCCCGGCTTACAAATTTATACCCGATTTTTCAAATGTCCCGGAGTTCTTGAGATATCTCAAAATATGTCCTGGAGTTCTTATGATAACTTTTGTTCATGTTGTTACTGCCAATGTGTATCTTGCGCTAAATCACGGCACGTTTTTTTATTATTCAATAAGGTTGTAAATTATTATGAAATGTAGTACGCTCATTTTTTTTTCACAAGAATGAGGATATATAATTTTAGTTAAAGAGATATAACTGGGATATCTTATCCCCGTTTCTTTTATATCGTATTTTTGCTGACGCAGATTTCGTAGACTTGAAAAAGGATTGATGTAGAGCATTGACTTTCATGATAAAATGCGCTCAAGTATGGTGTCTTTATGTATATTTTCCTGCCGATGTTTGATGGGTATTTCCCCTATGTAATCTTATTGGAGGAAACTCTGTTAATTTTGATAAGCAAAATATATTTTAGTCAAACTTTATTTCGCTCGAATCCGGAGGGACTTGCAAATTTGTTCGAGAGATCGGTATTTTTAGTGTCAACCGCAGTTGAGTTTTTATCATATTGTCGTACTTTTTGGAAACATAGGTTTGAAAAAATTATCCTGGTTTTATACATGTACTTGCTTGTTTTGGTATGAAATGAAACAAATACTCTAGCCCTTAGATAAGCGACGCACAACTATATATTATCTGCTTAAGGAAGATGGTTGGGAACAATGTAAGTTTTGAGGCATTTTGTTTTGTGGTTTAGGCCATGATTCTGCCGTTACTGTAGATGACAGCCTATCACCTGTTTATTCTTTGCAAACACTCAAGACCAACATTTTATCCACATTTTTGTACAAAGAATGAGCGTATTATATTTCATAAGTATTTACAACCTTATTGAATAATAAAAAAAGCTAAAACGTGCCGTGATTTAGCGCAAGAAACACATTGGCAGTAACAAAAGTTACCATAAGAACTCCAGGACATATTTTTAGGCATCACAAGAACTCCGGGATATTTGAAAAAACGCGTATAATTCTTTTAGCCGGGGCTTTATGTTTTTAATTTTGTATTATCATTAGGTAATCATGTATGGCAATGATGAAGACTTGAAATAAACAGATCAATACTTGCAAACTGTCAATTAATTTGAAAATTTTACTCAAAACTTCCAGACTTTAAGCAAGAGGCGATGAAAAGATGAAAAATGGACTATGAATTAGTTTTTGACACATAATACAATATGTAAGGCATGCTTAATCATTAAAGTTTAATTTAGCACCTAAAACTCACTTTTTAAACATGAAAAATACCATTTTTGAGGAGCGTTTTTGCAGTATATACAATAGTTTTCTGACGAACTCCGTGACAGTTATCACAAGAACTCCTTGACAAGTTATCATAAGAACTCGATCCCTCGTGTAACACTTCCTTCCCCGTGTATTTGGATAAACGTTATCGTCAATGTGCACCGTTCTACTTAGCTTTTATCATTTGGTGTTGGTTTGCCTAAGTGGTCTTACATGCCTATCGCTGGTTTTGCTTCATGAATATGTTGTTCATATTTAATTTCAAGATTTTAAAAGAATATCTAGCTTATTTAAGGTCTGCAGTATTTAGAGTAACATCTTAGCACGTGTCTGAATTATACAAGGATAATATTGGGCTTCTCATCACTGGAGTCGGCAATACAGGAACCATTGATCATGAATATATTTACTTATATAATTATACATATAAATGACAACACCTTTTTACCTTAATCATATTTAAAAATTACTTCAAATGATATACAATACGAATAGAATAATTAACCTATTACTGTGATTGTATTTGATATAAAATTAATTTACCTTTTTATTGATTTTTTTTTTAAAATTCAAATCAAATTAGCAATTTTTTCAAATTGATATTTTCAACAATATTTTTTTATTTTATTGTATTTACAACTTGGTGTGTGAAAAAAAACCTTCAATGATAGATAAAAACATCAGATAACACTTGTTAAATAAGTAAATTGATACCCTTTAAGAAAGAAAAGGTGACCTAAATATTGTTAAATATGTACAAATTTGAATCGTGCATTTATTATATAAAATCAAATTTACTCACATGCTCGCATTAACTGTATCACTAATAAACTTCTATTAAATCTTTTTTCTGCCATTTTGTTGTCAAATGTCTCACAAATTCCGTACTCATGATAATTAAGAACAAGGAAGAATAGTTTTATTATCAAAACCATCAAACGATGTTTGGTTACACAGGAAGTTTATTTTCTTAACATAAAACAAGCAAAAAGTATGAGTATTTTCAAATAAACAATATTATAATCGTCATCATCATCAACATCATCATCATCAACAACAAGAACATCATCATCATCATCATCATCATCATCAACATCATCATCATCATCATCATCATCATGGTCATCGTCGCCATAATCGTTGTCATCGGTCTAGTCGTGTTCATTGTCAATTTAGTCATCCACATCATTCTCATCCTGCTCCTCCTCCTCCTCATCCATCATTATCATGATCATTATCATCCATCATCAACATCATCATTATCATCATCACCATTATATTGATATTCGTTTAAGCGGAAATGATCATTAAGATGTCAAAGGACAACCAAAATGTACGACAATGCCGTTAACAATAATCATTAGTATTTATTACAGTGCGGTATCATTCCTGGCCGTTGTAATTGTTATATAATTTCTTTCCGAGAAAGATGCATTGATAAGTAGGCAATTGTGATTAGGTTCATAATTGAGGGCCTTCTATACTATAACATATTTTGACAGTATTTAGTCTCTTTCATATCAATCACGATTATCAAATGTTTACACCGGTGCTAGAAAAACGGTGTTACACCCGCACCGCATGTAAGACAAGTCTCGTGTTTTAAAAGGCAGTTTTTTCAAGTTGTTTTCGCTGCTGCAAAAAAAGATATACAAAAGACATCCAATGTTAGAGGCGGATTGTAAACTGTTACCAATATTGATTCAAGATTAAAGGGCTTTTTTCAGTTGAAACAATTCATTCAGCGGACGTACCTTTTGAATAAATGAGAGTAAATTTCATTTCATTAATTATCTTTGTTTATATTTTTCATTGTATTTATTTAATTGATTCTATTTTGTCTACTGGGAATGTTCGATACCACTGCCCCATTGGAGCTTCTGTGAAAAAACTACATTGATATATATAAGGTGCGAAAAAAACTCAACCGCTATATAGCAGTCGAGTTTTCTTCCTATATGAATCAATAAAAAAAAATGTTACTACTATATATCAATACAGTTTTCAAATGCTCATTGAAGTGTACTGAGTATAATTGGTTAGTAAGAACAAAGGTAAACTTCTAAACCGTGCGATAATTAGATGTAACGTAAACCACCCTTGAATAACAATAACAATCCGATTAGTAATGACACAGACCTATGATTGCCAAAAGTATTTGGTCCTTAGGCTCACGCAAAGATCATATGGTTTATTTAATTTACGTATGAAGATAAAAATTATAATTCACAGGGCGATATTACATATTGACGAATGAGATTAAACTCTATCTTAATCAACAACATAGCTTGATTAAGTTAACATTATATCAGCGTTCGTCTATTGTTAAAATATTGATTTTCATAAACAAAACGCGTTGAATAAAATATATAAATGATAAAGGACAATAAGGATTTATTATGTATGCGGTAAAGTTATGAAGACATAAAAGGATCGCACTTTTCTGCTTTGTGTCCTCTTCAACAAATGGTAAGATGCTTTTTCATTCATTTGTGAACATATCGTTTTCCTTTGAATATTTTTTGTACATAAATTCCTAAATGTTTGGCTTAAACACTGAAGAAGGGACCGAACGTAAACCGTTTAAACTCCTTTGAAATTATTTATTAAACTTTGACCATTAAGATTTCAACACCAAGCTATCATATCAATCATCTTACATTTGTATGTACATGTAATTATATTTTTTTCGTAACAAAAAATCTTCGATATAAAGGTTTATACTGCTGATATATAGGAGAAATAAATATTTATTTTATACTTATAAATAAAATATTGAGAAATTTTGATGAAATAAAATTCGCATTTTCATTTTCCGTTTTTCACTGCAGTGAAGCAAACTTCCGTTTTTATTTCAATGCAGTGAATCATAATTTCTTTATCGTCACTGGCGTGTTGCCGGACTTCTGCTTAATTAAGCCAATATTCGAAAACCGAAGAATTTGTACTGCAAATATTTTTACACATTATATCTAATCATTAAAATATATACATTCATTTCTTATTGAAAAATTTGGCTTATACTTCATAGAAAATAAATTTCTAATGACCTCTCTTTATAAACATGAAATGTAAATTAGGATATATCTTTTACAAATAATGCTTTTTGGAGCTAACACTATTGATACACCTTCATTTGAGCATTATATTTATGATATAAAACCATAACAAATTGAGTAACATGATCTTTAAGGGCAAGTCTTTCAAACTGTGATGTCAAAAAAGAGAAAAATGTAAGAAAATTCAAGATTTTGTTCTATGAATATAGGATTTATATTCATCTTGTGCTATGAAAATTATCATATTTCACGTATGTCTGATTACGATAAAACATGCCGGACGTTTTTACCTGCTCGTAAACTGTATCTTGTTGACACAATCACGGCTTTTAAGAGAAATGCATGAAACGTCTACATATATTTATGTTTACAACATAACAATGACAAAACTTATTATTATTGATATGTATTGATTAACAGAATGAGTTATCACAGACATTACTGTAAATCAGGAATAGCATGATTCAATCAAAGGTTACGTATGTGATATAAAAGAACACGGTGGTACTGACGTTGCTGATGTTTAATAATCACAAGCGTCGTAAATGTGGTTTAAATGGGCACAAACTATCTTAAATTTAGGTTAAACATTTTGCATTCAGTAAGGAAACCAAAATCACATTTTTTATACTTATTTACAGATGAAATAGTTAAAATTGCTTTCCATTGGCCGACATATAAAGGTATTGTTTTGTTTTAACTAGTATTAGTTGTATTTCAATTTCACCATGGATTACAAGAACCCCTCATTTAATCAAAATAATAGTCTGGTAAATTAAATATTAAAATGACTGGATGAAAACTTTCCTGATTGATACATTTTGTTTTATTTTTTAATTTTTTAGGGCTAATCAAACAATAATGATAATTTTCATAGCACAAGATGACAATAAACCCTTTATTTATGCAAAAACTTGAATTTCTTACATTTTTTTTTTGACATTACAGTTTATACAAAACTATGCGCAGTATTAAGGGATAAATAAACCTTAGTCTATTTTTAGACTAAAATAAGATCGACACAGTCTTGCCAAAATGTAGTGATAACTTATTACGTGTATCTACCGGCCACGGACTAACAAGTAGCAAATCTTCGTCTAGGGCATGTTCAACATCAGACTTACATTTACCTGGAACCATAATTCCATAGTCAACTGCATATAATAACAATTTATTTTTGACTACAGCTGACTTGTCATTTACATATACTACTCAACGAAGCACCATAAGGTAATTTTTATATTATCACAAGTATAAAACAGATAGATTTCTTTCCAATTTTTGAAAATTGATTTTCAGCAAGGTTTTGAGATATGATTTGAGACCCCTGACATGAATCCGAGTTGACTAATCCGTTACAGCTCGTCCAGGTAGCATGGAAAGCATGCATTCTAATATTTTCATGTTTTTGATGGGGTGTACAATCACATGTCTTTTGTTATACGGCGACATAACCGGCTTATTGTCATTCAGTGGCTTACATTTCTTACATCCTTACTTTCGATATGTCAAATGCAAACATTGGGCGGCATTTTATAGAAGCAGAGTGAAAGAGGGTTGTAGGGATGGTGCAGCAGGGGCCACCTTCAGCCAGGTTGGTGCGGCGCTTGGTATACATCACATCGTCATCACCAGATCCTGGGAGAGATACCGGCTACATGGTACACCCGCTAGGAGGTATTCTTGAGGTCGACAAAAGGGTCACACAACCAGCTCAGGATCGGTTCTTGGTCGTTCAGGCACGTCGTAAAAGGTTTTTGACAACAACTTCTCTTCGAAATGACATTGCTAATGCTGCGGGGTACGTGTTACCACGCAGACGGTACGTAGAAAGCTGTATGAAGGTAATTAGCGGTTAAGAAGACCTTGCATACGTATCCCCTTGACGCGACAACATCGCCAGGCCCGTTGGAATTGACCGTGGAACATACACGTTAGACCATGCAACACGTTCTGTTCACTGATGAGTCCGAGCCTAGACTTCACAGATAAGTGTCTGGAGAAGAAGAGGTGAAAGGTTTCAGGCTGCAAAATTGCTGTGAATTACCGCTACGGAGGTGGGTCAGTTATGGTGTGGAGAGGCATCAGCTGGGATGAACGAACCGACCGGGTTGTCAGCGATACATAGTCAAAATCTTAGACAACCAGGGTAAGTTGTATGCAGGAGCAGTCAGCGATCAGTTCATTCTAATGGACGATAATGCTAGCCCCCATAGGGCCAGGTAGTTCCAAGACTACCGGGAGAGGGAGTCTATTGAGCGCATGAACTTGCCAACTCGCTCACCTGACTTAAATCCAATAGACAACATGTAGAATGAGCTGCAGGTTAGAATTTCAGCTCGTCAGATGCTACCAAAAAACAAACAGGAGCTTGGAGGCATGCTGGTCATAGAATGGGTAGCCATTCCCATTAGAACGATCATAAATCTAAAAGGTAGCATGAGAAGGCACCACTAAGCTGTCATTGATAGTGACGGGTCACACAAACGGTTTTTAGTCTAAAAGTGAAAAAAATCCAATTTAACAAATTTGGAAAACACGCTGCATGATCTGAAATCTTCAAAGAGGGGGCCATCCTCTTTTCTAGCACAAAACAGTGTAAAACTCATTTATAGGGTTAAATTAGTGTTTCAACTGAATTGATAAGACAGGATATCAACATTTAAAACCTTTCGCATGGCTTTAATAAAATGATTCCAAAACATATTCACACTCAAATATATGGTGCTTAGCAAAAGTTGAGTAGTATATACTAACAACAAGAGGACCGATCATTGACGCTGTAATCTTATTTTATCAGCTTTATATTATTTTCAGACTCGCCATGATTTTTAGATTACTGATATCAATAGCTGTTTTCCACTTTGCACACGGTAAGTTGTTGGGTCACCTAACCATAATTTGTTATCATAATTTTCTTCAAATAACAAGATATGATCTACCAGTTATCAAGATGTTAATTCTTGCTACTCGCCATCTGCAATTATTGTATATACGTCTTTAAAGTATACCTATGGTGGGTCTTCAGTACACTACGGCTTTAAGACATTGGCGCCTATCTTGGTCCGGACAGTTGTCAATGTAAACAAATATGTGTCATACGATTCAAGTCAAATTAGCTGAAATCTTTCGATATTCTTAGAAAACAAATACAAAATGTATGACACCACAATATAAAGATTTGAAAAAAATATATATTGTTGTTTATGTTCTTTTCTTTATTTATTTGTGAGAGTGCCTAGTTGTTCTTGCCAGGCTGGTTGGCTGAATATATCTGATCACAAATCTACTACATGTATATGCCCTAGGCCCCGGATCTAGATATGTCCCTGTATTGTTGACGACTCTAGTTCTACATTGGTTTCACATACTCTTTAAAGTTTAATTATTTAATCTAGAGATGCAGACCAAAATCTAGATTTTTTCTTGATAAATTCTTTGGCTGTCTTTACGACTACATGTCTTCTGCCTATCTGAATTAATATTATGATTTTCTGTTGGTCACCTGACTCTGGCACAGTTTCTTGAATTTTTGTCTCCGGTTTTAAGATCCTCAATGTTAAGCTTTCAAATTGTTGATTTCGCATGATTATGTCATCTTAATCTAATTTTTGTCTGCAGTGCCTACAGTTCTATTAACTCATTAACAGCACTTAGCAATCTTGTAATTCACTAAGTGTTGTTTACGTAATTTTGCACTTGCGCTCATTCATTTTTTAAAAATAATGCCGGATAGCGGCTGAAATTGAATACTGACGTAGATTTTGCTATCATGGTAATAAAAAAACCCCCAAACTCTGTTATAGTATATAGAAATATAGATATTAAATGTAAATTAACATCTTCAATCTTTAAAAATGAGATCATTTCTTTAATGACTCATTATACATTCTGAAGAATAATAGAGTCATTGACTTCAGGTTTATTGAAATACTATTGACTCAAATATACGTATTTATTACAGGTATAAGTTTAAGTTGTGTTCCTGGTGTGCCTAAATATCAATCTTCTATGACATGCACCTGCACAAATCCAACAAAAAATGGTGTTGAATGGCGACGCAACTCGCAAATTGTTACTACATGTTCAGGGACTGTAGACGATTGCTTCCCGCCTTCCTTAGAATACACGTCATCTGTTTCTAGTAATGAATTTTACTCGGAAGTCAGCCCATACTCATACACAGATTGTGCAACATATAGTTGCAGAGACCTAAGCACAGGCGAAGAAGTTTCTACCACAACCTCGATAGCAGGTATTGTGACTGTTTATTAGCCATCAAAGAAGAATAATATTGCATATTTTGTCGAGAAATAAACAAAAATATAAAATAGGCATATATTCATATTGTTTGTAAAATTAACTCTATTATAAATTTTTGTTTTACAAAAGCCTTTTGTCTTTTGTTTTATAGATGCAGCTTTCTTAGCTTTTTTTAAAAGAAATTTCAGAGCCACCCTTAAATCAATTACATATTTAAGCATATAATTCTAAAATAAAAACAGCATTGCAAAACTGATCTTCCTTTTCGGTCTTTTTAATTATTCTTGTTTCTATTGTGCCAAGTTTGATTATGTCAAAGATATTTTTTCTTAACAATTTCAGACTTTGACCAAACTAGTATTACAGCAGAGGAACCTGGAGCTAATACAAATGGCCAAGTAAAGGTCATTACAGGATGTGTTTTCCCAACGAATGACATAACTGTTACGTGGTACAAGATTGAGGTAGGTTAATAGGTGTTGTATCTATTTGTAAAGACTTTTAATGCAAGCAAGCCTTAGTGGGCCTATTAATGTAATATTTATTCATTTTCTTTAATTTTGATTTCCTTGTCGGTTACTATTATTTCTTATGTAACATTGAAGTGATTAGCCCGTCCGTGCTCTCCCTTGCGCCATATCCTGTTTTTGTTTAGGGTCCTACTGGGCTCCTTGTCGCTGGTTCTTGTTACTGTGGGGGTTGCGTTTATTGAGCGCCGTCTTTCCTTGTTATCATGTTTATCATACTTTATTTTACTAGAAGTATCCGTATGTAGTGATAGACTTATGCTTATCGGGAGCATTAATGACAACAAAATGTCTGATTGAGACTCGGTTTGATTGAGTCATGAAGAATTTAATGAAGAAGTTCAAGATCCCTCACACCTCGTAGCACCGGTTTAAGCGATTCTCCATTTTCAACATTCACATTTGCTGGAATCAATGATCCCGAAAGACCAAAACTATAACAGAATTGAAGACTGAAATCCCAAGATAATTTTCAATATGAGAATTTCAAATTAGTACGGATAGGTATCCCGAGAGAAAGAAAATATACCGGTATTTACATTAAACAGTATTATTTCATTTGTATGTTGTAGCACCTGCAAAATAAAACTGCTCGGTAATAAATCGAACACCAGTATTGTAGGAATGATACTTTAAAATGAATATTATTGTTTTTTGCATTTACTTGGAAATAATCAGCAATCGTTTCTGGAATACGAATATACGGGATTTGTTGTGACAAATGCTTTCGAGGATCACACTTTCTCAAGATTATTATGATAAGATACTCACTTACAAACATAATGTAAAACAAAAATCTTAATCTTCTTAATCGTATTTCTAAACTCATTCAAAAAAATATATTCCAAGAAACAATTTATTTTCTCAAAATCTATTGTTAACTTTAAATCTATGTATAACTTAACCTATCCTATATAACTTTAATATTGCAACAATTCGTTATCCTATATTTCTATACAAAATATAATTCTTAAAACATCTTTAACAAATAGTTCTTCATTTATAATTTGCCTTATAAATGTAGCGTCCGTAGAACAAAATATCCGAGATTTCTTTAGGCCGAGGGGCCTTACTGAAGTGAAATATTTACAGATATCTGGAATTGATGTGTACAAGTAAAGGTTACTGTCATTACATAGACCCGTCTCTAACAAGGACATAAGTATAGTGGCTAATTTTTGCCATTTCGTGTATTCGCTTTCGACTTTTGAGAGGCGAAGACACGAAATGGCAGAAATCAGCAACCATACATAAGCTGTTCCCTCCTATACACAGATATTTTTAGACTAATTTAAATACATCACTCAAACTTCCTTTTTTAAACGTTTCACAGAAACAGCAAGGTATCTTGAACACCACCAATCTGAGATTTCTGCGTATAAGTAAATATAATACTGCCAGCATCTTTCTAACGGACGGAACCGAACTGATTCTTTTTTGCGTGCGTTTTATACTCGCCACCGGTTGCCCATATGGGCGAGTCCTCAAGAAGAATATTAGTCATTTAGATTTTGAAGGATATTGCAAGATACAGATACATGAAAATGCCCCGATTCCAGAAGCTTCTACTGGTTCTTTAGCGTGCCAAGTGTTTAAGCACTCATACACGAACCTCGATTGAAAGTCTCATCCGAAAGATTGATAAATAGTTTTTGTTGGCAAGCAATGTCGGGATTACAAGTCTCTTACTAATTGAGATATGTGGGCTGGTTTATTATTTGGCACTGCATACGCTCTATTTATACTACTGATGCATCGTTTCGCAGTGAATCAAACAATGATTTTGATTAGCTAACAGTAATAAAACGTTTCTTGTCACTGATTCTAGCTATTCTTCGTACAAACTATTGTGAGTAATTAATATACAATTATAGATAAAAACACATTGAAATATTCCCAAACTTATACTGATTTGCTAGTAAGCATGACTGCAATACCTACTCTTTATATCATGATAATTTAAAAATAATGATAGTCATATATTATCCAAATTCAAATGGCAAAATAATAGAAAGGGGATGGAATCAAGTAATGTTAAGGTACATGTCTGTAACATAATATCGAATAATAGTACGTAGCCTTAGTCTTGCACATATTAATCAGGTAATCAATAACTTTCCTAAACTCAGTCGTATGCCGGTGAGTAGTAAGGTTTATCATGTCCCTCTTGTTTACTTTGCTTCAATTTGTCTATCCAGCATGAAAAAGGAAGCGCACGCTGCTATTACTAGCCCACAGATTGCAGTCTTGTTCAAGAATTTGCATATAATTTTGTAATGAAAATGCACGCCCGTACATATAATCGGAGATGTTATATTTCCGATATTTGTAGACCGTTCGGCACGGCAATTTACTGTGTTTGTGGTATTTTTAGTTTCAATCTGATATGTTCCTATTTTGGTGGTTTCAGTATTCCTAAAATACTTTTTAAGCGCTACAAGGATATATTACCTGCATTTAAAATTTGTCTTTTGACGTCTCGTCTAAAAAATGCATGCTTCATAACCTCCGTCTAACGTTCCATTTTTTAGTACTGCCCTTCTTTCTAATGAGCACAAAGTACAAATAACAAGGTCTGATGAAAATTACCTCATATCCTACATGGTAAACAATCTGTGCGAATCAAAACTGCGTCGTATCCTACAATTTATAAACAAACGCCACCATCTTGAACTGAATAAGTATATTTCTTTGTATTTCTTTCTTTGTTGTAAATGACTGAAAACCAGATATATGTATCAACACGATCCACATTTTTTTTACTTTATTTGGTATATGTTTCTAGCACAACTGTTTTCTAAATCAAAGTTTCAGCGAACTTGCAACTCAAAGCGGGCCAAAAGTTTTGTTAATACGACGCAGTTCATAATGTTTTATCAATTAGTTTTTAATTCAAATCAATTATGTACTTCTTCCAGAGATTACCATAAACTTCAAAATATAACTCTGTATCATTTATTAAGATTCATTATAGCATAAAATCGGCTCTTTTCCCCTTTTTGCCCACATTTTAACGGAATCAACACCATGCGTTAACAAAGTCACGCGCTCTTGTTATAGCCCGTTTTTACCAATGTGCAATACATTATACAACAAAAACAAAACAAACAAATCGACGCCGATTTGGCCTATTTTCCAAAAGAGTCATGCGCTCTTGTTATAGTGACATTATGGATTTCAGCGACCAAGTACATATGCCGTATAATATTAACCGCTAATCTTGGTTGTCGCCCTTTTTAAGAAACGGACAGTTATCAATGCAAACAAATATCTGTCCTTAAGTTTAGCTCCCCGATTAATTTAGAATTATGATAATACAAAATAGAAATAAGAAACTGTTGTTTTATTGTTATTTATATTGATAAATACAATTTATATATCTTTGTGAGAATAACATTTAGTGCCAGTACTTTTATAAACGTGTGTGCTTGAAAAAACCCAAACGGTTCTGATCCCCTGATCTTTTTTCTACCGTCTTGAAAATCATTTTCGGAATTTCTGAGGGTCCTGTTTTCTCTTTGGTAGAGTATATTAATTGTTTTATTGAGTTTTGTTATATTCCTGGATGTAGTGGGTAGAGTCTGTTGTCACACCTTTAGTTCGATTAAATGTAACTATGATTTTTGGAACATTGTTTTTGTGTAAGAAAGTGTTAATCAAGTGTAGCCATGATGGAAATGAAAATAAAGATCAATGAAACTTTAAAAATGTTTGTTGTACAGTAAATGAGCCAATTTTTCAAGAATACATAAACATAACATGGTGGAGAATCTAAATGGACATATTTTATAACTTTGAAAATCTAATTATTATG